TAGGTCGCGGCTGCTTTAAGATTGACCATTACTAGAAGGGGCAAAAAAAAAACGAGTAATTAGGCCGGCCATTTTTTGGTCCGGCTCGAATTAGCCCGAACAAAACGCATTAAAGAGGCCCATCGAATTGAAAGGGCCGGCACATTACCACGCTCGCGCTATTTGGGTTCAGGGAACAGCTGGAGGCTTACACACCACGCGGTGTGGCAGCAGCCAAACTGGCTAAGCACTGTGTCCCTCACAGTGTCGGTCAAAGCGCATGTTGTCAAGGTCAGTCCACTCCGTCATCAAGCCAGATGTAACCATCGGTACTAGCCAAGTCATGTGATTCAACATATTGAGCATCTACGCGCAGGAGCATGGTCGTCTTTGATGTGCCACTGGTAACCCGGCGATGCCAACATGACCTGATAGTGGCCCAGAAACATAGAGGAGCCAAGATGGACGACACAAGCACGCCATCGACATCGTCGGGAAGTAGTCCTGAGGTCTGAGCCTACAAAGATAGGGAACGAAACTTCAGGTTGCAAGAGTTGGAGGGCAGCTACCCCATTGGCTTGACAACGGGGTGCAGACCAGCATGCAGAGGATGCGTGGAGCCCACACCAGCGCGCATCTGCCCCCTGCTGCGCCCATTTATGTATCATGGAGTCGAGAGTGCACTTGTAGCAACTTGGCAGAGGAATGGCATTAGCCGCGTGTCCCGTCAGCCATGTTTCCCTGCATAGTGCGGCAAGTCGAGACTCCATAGACGTGCACAGATGTAGGTGTAGCCTCACAGCAACACTGCACCTTAATGGCGATGCTTGGAACTGCCCAGGTCCTCCTCGGGCAGGGCCTGCATGTGCAGGGAATGGAGCATGGCCGGCACATGTGATGGTGCGCATGCATGCGCATGCCAGGATTCCGACCACTGGCGAAACTCTGACGTTGGGGACTGTGGAGAGCCCAGATGTTCGTGGTGTCAATCCTGTCAGAGCTCTGAGGCTGTGCCAGGAGCACGTCTAGTTGAGTGCGATGCCTCAGCTCACTCGTCTGTCTCATCTGTCTCGTGTCGTGCAATCTGAGCGGCAGCATGCGGCAGCCGTGGCCTTCGGGGAGGCGTTCCAAGAAAGGACGAGCACGCCAAGACTCAGCCTCGCGAAGTCCGCGAGAGGCGAAGACCAGGAGGTCAGCATGCTGCAGCCTGAACACTGGCAAATGAAGGGCAAGAAGAAGGACAAAGAAGGCTCCAAAGGCGATGAGCTGCGACCACAGATCGGCAGATCGGAGACTTTGGAGCCGACAGAACCAGGGGAGTCGCAGCTACTGAGGCCAGAGCGCAGCACCAAGGCCGGGCCCCCCTCCAGCGCTTGCATCCCTTCATGCTGTCTCGACTCAGTTCAAAGTGAAGCTCTACAAGATGGGTGAGTTCTGCTGCAACATCGTAGCCAACTTTGTCAAAGGCACGCTACGCACGCCACGATCTCCTCAAGATAGGGGCACTCGTGAGAGATCGGGCCAGGCAAAGAGAGTCCGGAGTCTTTGACAAACAAGCTGCAGATTGACCAGCGCACGAAGGCGCCGAGTTCTCCACACAGTTGCCAAGCTGCTGTAGCTTTGGTACATGGTTCCACATTCTGCCGTGTTGTCGTTCTGCGTGCTCTGGCCATCAGATCGACCACTGTCGAGCGCACATGGAACGAGCTGGGGCTCTCTCGACAGTCTGGCATTTCTCCGCTGCTGACAGGCCAGAGTCAGACTTTTTGCTTGAATTCTGAGATGTGTGTCCGGTGAACTGCAGGCGTGACTGTGCAGCGCCAGCAGCTTAAATATGCTGAGCATGTGACACATGGCAATTCACTAACATTTTGTGCAGCGTGCATTTACTGCCAGATTCATCCTCCGCCGTGGGAGGTATGATGCTCTTTGCGATTATTTTGTGGAGAAGCAACGTGTAGGTGTGCTCAGCAGAATTGCCAAAATAGTGAAGCCTGTGGCTGTTCCTCCCCCAGATGCCTCATGCGCCTGTGCAGGACTGGTACAGACTCCAAGTTACTACATTTATATTGTTCCTCCTACGGAGAAGTCCGCGACTCAATGAAGCTAGGCTTCCATTTGAGATTTTCTTGGTTATTCAAGACCTCTTTACCGACCGTCCAGCGTGCAGGTATTTGAAAGAGTTGAGCCTTCCGGCCTCTAATTTCGTTGTGGGGCTGCAAATCCCAATCAAAAAGTAGAGTCAGTAGAGCAAGGAAGCCAGACGGCAGGTGCAGAGTGTGCTCCATGGTACTTGCAACGGAAGAGCAAAATCCGGAACAGCGCATTTGCTCGTCTGCACCAATGAGCTGCGGCTGGTCTCAAAGCTCTGGTCGCCTCCACTAGGAGCTCAGAAGCTGAAGCTTCGAAGCAGCGAAGCAGCGGGTATCTTAGAATGGCAGCATGCTACGAATGCGCAGCATGCGATGCTGACAAAAAAAGCCGCAGGGATGGAGCCAGTTCACAGTCTGCATGGCAATGCAGTAGATCAGTAGATCCTTTTGCATTCATGATTTTCATGCCACGGCTCAGGATACAGCACCAAGTAGTCCCGTGGCCAGTAACGCACGGAATGAGCTGTCTGGAGTAGGGGTAGCACAGCGGCCTTTTCTCCACATGTTACGGGCGACAGTGTCAGATTGCCGTCTTGACTCATGCCGCTCTTCTTCAAGGACACGGTTCCCAGGTCACCGGTATGGACAACGTGCATCCTGCCTACCTTTCAGCTACTCAATGAGCCGCTGTCGCGAGTGCGAGTGCCTCGACAAGGCCGTCTCTCACTTCGTGGAGCAAGGTCTTGTGCAACCGGTATGCTTTGTTGAAGTGTCAATGAATTGGACTCCAAGTTTGGTTAAGTGAGGCCTTGGTCAGCTGTCCCGTTCCCAAGATGTCAACAGACGTAAGTCGTTGCTTTGGATGACAGACGATCAACTTCGGGACCTCTACCACTGCTGTGCATGCTCAAAAAATTACCGTGTAATTTCGGAAGAGTCACAGGTCACACAATGTTCCGTGTTTCCTGCCATACGTTACAAGACAACGGTGGTGGTGGATATCAGCCGGACTTGCTCGAAGGGAAATTTGACAGATCTCGCGAGACGTGCTGCAAAGCTGAGAACTGAGTCCGCCGAGTTAGACGTTGATCATGTGCATGTCACTTTCAAGGCCTTCGCTCTTGGAGCACATTGTGCCACTGCTACTTAAAACTCTCAGGTTCCGGTCCACAAACTACCAGAATAATCCAGAATAAAACCAAGATCGTTGCTGGTGCGGGGTATGTATCAAAGACACTCAGAGGCCTGTGAAACCAAGCAGCCAGGTTTTCGAAAACACTGACAGACGAAAGAAGCTTAAGCCGTCGCACCATCACAGTCTGTTGGGAAGCCAATTCTGGCTTCGCCGCTGAGCCTTTTCAGACCTGTCATCGTGACACCGTGCCAGGTACTTGCAGCAGCCTTTCGAAGACAACTACGTCGACGATTCCTTTCTCAACTCCCTTGTCTTGAACGCCCATGTTACCCGCTACGAGTTGCCTCCTTGTCACAAGAGTGGCAGCCCATGGCATTGCCCGGACCCTCGAAGCCTGAAACATTCTTGCGCCGTCCAAGGCTGCAAGAGCTTTGTTGCAGTACCACGTCAATAATCCGGCAATTATGCTTGGTCGTGATCTTCGTGAATGTGCAAGCCTTTGCACGGTAGTTTTTGCATTTCGCAGCCGATGCTCGCGCTGCAAGGTTTGGTGGAAGGCCCAGCTGGAGTACGACTTCCGGTGGCTTTTTGCCGTCGGAGGGTTGCTCTTTTCTTGCCACCTCTGCCGTGCCGCCTTGTTACCGAACGATCTCGCTGTCTCGTCTTCTCCCGCGCACGGTTGCGCCAGGGCTTTGCGTCAGCATTCGACCTTTCACCGGCGTCCTGAAAGTCACGGCCTCGGCATGTCCGTCTCATTGCGGTACATGCCGGGCTCGCAGCGACGGGGAGTGTTGCAGACAGGCTTGCGCTATCGTCTTCCCACTTGGAGCCTGGACCCATCTTTGCCTGCCAGAATCGTCCCGAAAGAGCGTAGATGCTGTAAGGTTCTGGCTCCTTTGCTTCAAGCCTTAACACGAAGTTGGAGTTGCGCCCTCAGCTGGATCCACGGGATCGGTATTACATCGCCGGCGAACTTGAATTGAAGCTGCTACCGGGCCAGTTGTCATGACTTACCATGGATTCCAACGCAAGTTGTCTGCGACACACCGGAAGTTGCAAATCCCTAGTGTCGACAGTTTGCTGGCACAGGCTACAGCAAGTGGTGTGTACCGTCATCACTTGATCGCAGAGTATATGAACAGTCTGAAGAGCAGAAAAGGGAAAAGCAACAAACCAGCAAACATGTCACTGCCACGCTGTCTGTGAAACATGTGAGGGATTGTGTTCACTGGCTCATCGTTGCCATAGACTAGCAAGAGCTGCAAGCAACTTCGCATGCGAACCTTGTACAGCTTGAATGGTACTTGTCCCGCCCGCCCGGCGCTACGTTTCCCTGGAGTGCGCAAGTGAGCTTTGTTGGACAGAGCCCCTCCCTGTGTCCACCCGCAAAACGATGAAATTGAAACACAATTGTGCGGGAGTGACCCACAAACACACAAACACACACACACACACACTTACTTGTACACCAGTCATCCTTACCTAGATGGATGCTGTTTGTGCTAGTTCATTACTTCGCTTCTTTTCATAGCACGTATTCCTATGCTCGTTGAGGCCAATGACAGAAACAACAGCGTTTTGGGGTATTTTGGGCTGGCC